CAGGGCTATTGCCCCATAATCTGTGGGACATAAGTGGGTGTGACTCTGAACAGTCCTGTAAATTTACCCTGGGATACAGCTCTTACTTCACTCAGAGAGTCAAAGCCTTACATCGACAAAGCCAAGGCATTAATTGCCCTCCTGTGTACTCATATCCAGACGAGGTTGGGTACCACTACAGTGTAGCTGTAGTGACATGAAATTCAGCACGAACCAATCACTTGAACATCCACCAGTTGTGGGGATGACTTTTGAAGCCCACTCTAAACTCCCTGCTGCTGACACCACGCTGTTACCAGCACCTAGACCATGTTAGAGTGAGCTCTGCTGTGCTGACTTGTACAACTGTGACAGTAAGTCATCACTGTCAGGGTGTGTTTCCATGGAAGTGATTTTGTGCTGCAGAATGTTTACTTAGCGTGTGCTAGGATTGGGCTCTGAGGTTTAAAATAAGGGTGTAGCTGTATAAGACACAGTAAAAATAGGAGCACAGAACGCTGGATTTAACACAGCTATATCAACACTCTTACAGAAAATACTAGTGTCAGGGGGATCGCGAGTCACTGATGTCTAAACACTTGAGGCAGAACTTCCTCTTGTGCCCGCACAAACACCAGTCGGATTTTGTGTGCAAACCACCGCCTGGGAAGTCAAATCTCCCTTCCAAAGTTTTCCTCAGTATCACATCAGCATGCAAGAAAGGGTCACTGCTGCTGTTCACCTTTCAAGGCTACATTGCATCAGGCAAGTGGCTTTCATCCAAAAGATTTATCAGGTAAAAGGCCTGTGTTTAAACTGTGAGATTGAAGAACAGAGATGAAAAAAGAAAGGCTGCTTTCACACTTGCTGCAGGGAAAAGCGTCCGACGTGGACGACATATCTTCTGCAAGTCCTGTTTATGGAACAATTTCACTTCAGGTCACTGATGTCTATGTGAATAGGAAACTAACTTGCAGGGCTTTAAAATCTACTTCTGCTCAGCAAATAGCAACACTAACAGAAACAGACCCAAATGACCCATGTTCTGATTCTGTTTGCTCAGAAATTCCGCTGTTTCTATGACACTGTATTGAGATAAACTACATCCAGGATCGCTTCATCGGTAATTTTTGAGTAGCACAAAGAACCTGCTGGTATGGAGTTGATTTCTGAGGGAAACCATTTGTGCTGTGCTAAGGAAACTGATGAGGTATCAAGTTTTGTGTCTGATGTCCCTGCCTCTTCCCAGACAGGAAAAAAATATGTCCATTCATCACCTCAACATAATAATGTTACTCAACATGCCATATACTGTGTGTCCTTCTCCAAACTGGAGATGCGGCATTCCACTCAAATACCTACTACTAAGTTTACAGATAATTATTTATTGGATGGCATTATTTCCACAACTAATGAATGATCTTTGGTCTTTTTCAAAGATTTCAAAAATATCATTTTACACTTTGAAAACCTTGAGTCACTGGGACATTTGGGGAAAAAATAGCTTGTACTACATTTGCATGTGGCGTAGGGCCCAGTGATGCATGGCTGATATTCGGGGTAGCTTAAGTTCAGTTCTGGTCATATTCTACAAGTGAGATTAAAATCAACAGCTAAAGATCTCACCTAGGACAACCTGAATTTCTGAGGCAGGGGAAAATGTAAGGTTTTGCTTAATAAAAAATTAAAGATAGATCACTAAAGGAGATCTCAGACTCAGGACCCTTCTCAATACAGACTGTTCTCGTGAGATCCACGAGAGGGTTTTATTTTTTGGAACAAGCATAACATTTAGTCCAGAGGAAAGAAACCTGATTCAGGAAAGTCTGGCAAATGTTAAATTTGCCAGATAAGAACGCTTGCGGAGGAAAACATGCAGAGGGACTGTTATAAAAGAAGTGTAGCCATAGAATTCTTTTATTAGTTTAACACAGTGTTCCATGGGCCATAAATGGCGTTAACTGCTGTTCTCAGTGCATTTCTTTCCCACATCCCCCACGATGCCTTTACTGCAGTAGCCCAAGTTCCTCTCACATCCTTTATACCCTGTAACACAGTATCCCCGATACCTCCAAGTCCACACAACACTTGCAGATCCCCTGCATATCCCGATTTGCTTCTAGCATCTTCAGACGTACCTTTGGCCACCTCTTCTCTCCCCTTATCTATCCTGCGAGACCACCGCCATAAGAGCTTCATGTCTCACTGTTTGCTTACCTATCTTTGTTGGCCTGTAAGATGAGCGAGAATGTCACTTGCTGTGTGCGTTGGGACTGAAGATACACGCTAATTAAATCTGCGGTATGTGCGTGGACTGACAAGCCGGATAATGCCAGTACAGTCTCGGCTGGGTCAAACGATGACTAATGCTGTCACTCTCTCAGTGGAGTGTCTTCTATAGCTCTGATTCTCACAGCACTGACAGATACTATCTTTGAGACAGATGCTGCCTTGCCAGATTTGATTACAATCAGCAAGTAGCATCCGGATTTGACAATTATGCAACATTATAGAACCTGACTTAAAACTCTCAACAGGTGTGATGGATACCATTGGAAAAGGGGTCACTCACACAGTTTTTACTGGACAACTACTCATACATCTTTTAATTTTGGATTTTCAACATCCTTCGCTATTTACAAACAGAAGGAATTTAAGACTATAATTTCATTCTCCCTCAGATCCAATTTCTGACAGTGTCAGCGGAGGCTATTTTTTTATTGCAAAAACATTTGCAATGTTTTGTTTCATTTAATTTTTTACACTTTTAAACATAAGTTTTCTCCTCTCCAGTTCTTTTAACAGAAGTAATTTCTCACCACAAAAGATGAATTTTGCTTTTTTCTTGAAGGGCTTTTTTAGTGCTTGACAGCAGATCCCTCTTGGGTGCAACGTTATGAGGTTTGGGTAGAATATTCCAGCTCCCGACGGGCACACACGCAGGCTTACCCTAGAGCCAAGTGGAGTCAGCAGGACAGCACTGTGGCCATCCCTACTGCTCCCCTTTTGCTCTTCTTGCCATTGACAGCGAAACGGCTTTGATATTTTGACCAAATAATTTAAATTAATTGTTCCTTTTTTGAGGGCAGGGGCAGTTACGCTGGAAAGTTTTGCATGGAGAAACAACAAATGTTGTGTTACAGCAATATGAACTTTGGTTAATCTATACGGTGATCTAATTTGTACTGTAGGCAAAAATACCTTTGAGGCTTTTTTTCAAATATTATGAAAACTTATTAATAACACACTAAAACCTTTCAGCCATCTGCATGTGGCCATGTGCATTTGAAGGGGTTTTGTTTGCACTCCATTAGGGTTCAACGCAGAAAGCCCTTTTGTGATTCGACTTCAGGAAGGGGAACACCTTTCTCTTTCCTGAGTGATTAGGTTTTGGAAGCAGGCATCTTCTAAGTTCCGATTTCTGAGATCCTAAGAACTCCTGCCAAACCCCATCTACTTTCTCTGTAAATAAGCGCTAAATAGGATACGCTTTGAGAGGAAGCGGAACTCTCAACAAGTACCAGCGATGCAAATGCTGCGATGCCCACGGCCCTCAAAACTCCCCTGCAGCTTCCAAAAACCCAGACACTTCTACCCCCGGCACGTCTGCATTCCCGCAAATGGCAAGACCTGGGGAGAGTTCTGGCGCCCAGCCACGAGCATCCCGGGCGTGCCAAGCCGCCGGCAACGCTCTGATCTGTGCCGATACAGTTACGCTCCCCGACTTTGCTCTGAAATCCTGAGGCAAACAAGCGGGTAAGGCCCGCTCCTCCCAGCCCCGCCGAGCGGCTGCCATGACGGGGAAGGGGACGACGACCATAGCAGGGTCGCTCTATCCCACCGGCGAAGGGGGTGTCTCTATGGCGGGAGGCGGCCGCTCTATCCCCCGCGCTCTATGGTTGGGCGGGGGGCTGGGGGTCGACGGCGGTGCGGAGGGCGGGCCGGCAGGTAAGGGCTGAGCCGCGGCCCCTCACCCCGCTCCCTTCCGGAAGAGAGGAAGGAAGGAAAAGCAGGAAGGAAGGAAAAGCAGGAAGGAAGGAAGGAAAAGAAGGAAGAAAGGAAGGCAGGCCCCTCCGCCTCACGCCCC